GCGGTATGGCTATGGTGCCGTTCACTTATATGGGACGAGTTGTTGCCAACTTGTGCTGGCCGCGCAGGGTCTTGCGGCTGCGAGGAAAGATGGGGAGTGCCTGATTTAAAGTAAACAGCGAAGATCATTAAGGGGTACGATCATGTTCACTTATGTTCTGGCTAAACATGTCCGGCTGGCCTGAACTTAAAACTCACTGGCTTGGAGGCTGCAGATCGGCGATGGCTTAAGTTACTTATATTGACATAAAATTTGACATTTTACTCCGTGGATCCGGCCTGATGACCTGGCTTCCCAGACTTGCGACCGCCTCTCGCAGGGGATTCGCAGCATGGCGACTGACAAGCTGTCACTTTCTGCTGGACGTCCTCGCGGACTATGAAGACTGTTTGGTGTTGCTGTGCAAAGCCTTCAGAGTTGCGATGACGTCACGCGATGAGCTGGCGGATGGGATCCACCTACCCCAAACGGTGACGTCAATGCTCAAACCTATATAGTACTCGACCGACCCGTTATCTCTGGCTCCCACTTCATTCCTTTCACGCTAATGTCGAGCCCGCCTATTATCGATAAAGAGATACTCCCCGCCACACCTGCCCATGAATGGGCCAATACCACGTCTTCTTCGCTCAAGAGCTCTGGGCAAGAACACAATACCACGGCACCCGAAACAGTTACCCCGGGACCAGATATCCCCGGTGCCTTTCCGCACGACAGTATGACCGAAGAAACGACCAGCGGCGCTTTCGATACGGGGAAGTGGCAGATTCCTAATCAAACCGATGTAAAAAATGCGGTGATAAACGCTGGCGAGGCTGCCAAACAATACCTGCCTGACGCGTTGACCTCGTACTTTCGTGAGATCCATTTTCGTGGGCTTCAGAGGTGTTATTCACGATTAAATAGCTGCTCCATTGACATCCCAGCCACATACCGCAGACACCGATCCAACAGCCAAAGCCTGCGACATACCTTTACCACATGAAAGTGATCAGGATCTTCAGTCTCGGACTGGTGGGTCGACATATTTCATTACATGTACATCAACTGAACTTTTGCTTCAAGATTCTGGCGACAATACCACCGGGATCGACCGGAAGCTTCTAGGACAAAATACGCCCAAGAACGAGACTTCGGTTCAAGACACTAGTTGAGCATTTCATCCAACTCCATGCCACTCTTTCTGATATGTATCATACTTTTCTTCAGCCGACCCAAGACGGGTCGATACTTCGTTCTTGACACCCCATACCAGCGGCGGATCTGTCTCGAACGCGGATAGCACGGAAGCGCAGGATGGCTCCAAGACGAGCATCGCAGATACCCCCGGCTGGAGCCCATACCCAGCTTTTCAGGGGGAAGCCATGGATAGCGAAGCAGACGTTGACACGATGGCTCCCTCAAAAACACCTGGCGTGGCTTTGGCGAACAGCCAAGACTCTTCATCTAGCGACGATGAACACCCCCTCAAGCGAGAAGATTTTGAAGGGGTGCCTGGCGGAGACTTCAAGGTAAGATTCTCCATCGAACTGTAGAACCCAACTGAAACGAAGGCGGCTCACTAGGGAATACAGCCACCTATAGTGAATACTACGCCTCGAACTCATCCTTTGGCCGGCGCGGGTGCAAATTGGAATGGTGTTCCCTTGGAAGAGTCATATCAAAGGGCGTTGGACAGTCACCCTGATCCATACCTCAACTTGGGGTCGCAACAGCCTGGAGACGTGGTCGAGGAGATGGGGAATAGGGATCACATCCTGAAGGATCAGGGCGCGTCGGTGATGGGGAAAGAGACGTCAGGAAGTCCGCGACCTGGGCCTCCCGAGGTGAATGTGGATTCAACGACCGCCGACGCTGGCCACTCACCTGTCACTCAGAACCACCAGCGGGATGGGAGTACTGCTTCGAACGCGCCCACTGCTGAGACGACGTTAAATAACGGATCGAAGATTGAAAATACTACCTCGCGAGCGAGCGGGTCGAGCAAGGGGCACAGTACTATGGCAGCTGGCAGTCCTCACAAAAGTTCGTTCATGGACAAGGTCAAGGGCGAAGTGAAGGTGATCTCGGGAAAGATTTCGCATAATGACGAGAAGGTTGAAGAGGGGAAGCGCTTGCTTGGGAAAATGGTCTGAGTCCGTCCTCGCGATTATTTCATTTCGGTTCGCATCATGATACATTACTTCGATAATCCTCACATCTGTATATGCGGTACCTACGGATAGGGTACGGCGAGTTCAATTTGTAATCTAGAATCTCAGCTTTGGTTCGAATGAACGAAGGATCTTGCGACGCACGTCAGCTAAACGCCCTACATTTTTCCCTTCATTACCGTCTTGTATCCATTGTTTTTTAATCTCGTTTCTTCTGGTATTTTCCTCCTGTAGATACATGCGCGAGGTATGATTCAAATGTAATCCCCTTTGAGCCCAGTATCGATACCCTTATACGAAGAAAGTGTTCTGATGGGAAGTTGGAAGAGTCCGTCGCGATTCTGCGCCTGTTGCTGTGAAACGCTGGGCCGTGGTAGGAACTCGCGGTACGCCATCCAAACACCCACCCGAGACGGGACGATCGCCCCGTCACCAGTATGCATGCAACCACGCGAGTCGTCGGAAGAAGGTGGACCTTGTTAACCTCGTTTATTCCTGGGGCCCCCGATTCAGTAGCGATGTCGAGCCTCGGGCAAAGTATGTCACGAATGCGGTAGTTGGGACTACGGCTGTTTAACCGTTCAGCCTGTTCGTCGGACTTCTGGCGGTCGCTGGGTTCGTGGCGGTGGCTGCAGGTTGAGTTGGGAGGAACAACTGTGACTTGTGACACGGGCGTTGACGACAACTGGGACCTCCACGTGCAGTCCAAATTTAGTGATGGCGGCTCGTTCTCTTTCTTCACTCTACTCCTCACCCTACCTCATCTATGCGATTGATCGCTAGGAGTACCTACATCCAAGGCTGGGTAATGGCGTTGCGAAGATGCTGCGCAGAACTACGTGGGAGTAAGCAAATTCATCCCGCAAGGTTAAAGCTATAAAATTACAACTACAGGTTGAACGATTTCAACAAGACAATACACATTACGGTACGGGGCAAGGAGCAAAAGATGCATGGACGATCATACGATGTTTTGACGCACGGCCTGAGCACCGGGATTTACTTTCCCATCATGTGCTTGCCTTCCTCAACCTTCCTAGTATCGCGTCCCATCTTCCCCGTTATAACCTTCGCCTCGGCCTTCATCTTATCCACAAACCCGAGTTTACGTTCAGCCGAACTTGTACTGGAGCTCGTACTGGAGCTCGTACTGCCTTCCGCCGCCGCACCCGAGGTCGACGAGGTGGTGTGAGGTGGGGTCAGCGTGTCTGGTGCTCCCGTCGATTTCGAGGAAGAAGTCTGCGAAGAAGAAGTCTGCGAACTAGACCCGCCGCTCCCCGGACTCATTACCTTATCTGTTACTACTTTGAAACCTGCCTTCACCTCCTGGCGTTTACTCTTGTTCTTCCGCTCTCAGCAGTGGAGGACTTGTAAACCTCGCCTGTACGTCGAGCAGTTTAGCGACGACGCAAAATGGTGATAGGCCTTGCACACCTTCCGGCCGATTCCGCTCCTCAGGCGTTAAACCAACCTGACTCTCATCAGGGCCGCCAGGTAGAGGTCCTACGCCGCCAGTCTTACCAAGTCGTTCCTGGCTCGTCTCGTTCGACGGCATCGCCTCTTGTTTGCGCTCCTCGGGGAGCTTAGCGACACTGGCCTCTGAATAATTCCCTGGAAGAGAGCCGACGCCACCTTGTTTACCGAGACGTCCCTGTTCCGTCTCCTGCGACGGCATCGCTTCTTGGTGGCGTTCTTCGGGAAGCTTGGCGACGCTCGCCTCCGAATAGTTACCCGGAAGCGAGCCCACACCACCAGATTTCCCTTGCCGTCCTTGGGCTTCTTCGTCATGGGACGGTAGCACCTCTTGACGACGTTCTTCGGGGAGTTTGGCGACGCTCGCCTCGGAGTAGTTGCCCGGGAGAGAGCCTACACCGCCACGAGAGCCGTTTTGGGTCTCCTGTGAGGGTAAAGTCTCTGAATGCGTGGCTGGAATAAAGTACGTTATTGTTAACGAGGAAGGATATGTGATATAGCTGATACACACCGCTTTTTTCATGCGATCCCCCGGGATTACCCTCCGTGGCTCTTCCTTCGGAAGGCTTCTCTGTGTTGGGCGTACTTTTGTTGGGCGTGCTACCCGCTGCTTACTACCGTCAGCGCACGTAACAAGCTGGCATAGATGACTCACGCAGGTAGGACGAGATGGATTTGGGAAGATAGTGTTTAGCCGTGTCGGCTACACTCTGGATGGCGTCCTTAATCTCACTCTTGGGAGGAAGGTACTGCTTCACGGTTTCGACCTTGTCGCGCAGCGCTTCTTTGTGTTGGGCTGGACGGGGGGCCGTAGGATCGGCGCCTTGGGGATATGACCCCGGGACATGCTCTCCCCGGGCATGCTCTCCCGGGGCATGCTGTTCCTGTCCGGGGACATGCTCTCCGGCTTGTGGTGCTTTTATGATATGCGAAGGGAGTCCGGACATTATTTAGCGATTAGTAGTTGGGTGGGTAGGCGTGTAAGTGGGACGTTCCAGATGCCGAGGTTGAGACCAATTCTTATACAATATGACAAAGTGTCTCGGTGGGGCTATGACGCACATCGAGACGCTCGTGCAAAACACGACAACACCAGGTACTCTTCAGAGTCCGTATACGATCGCTTTCCGCTCTGTCACTGTCAGCGTCTTGTTTCGCCGCAATTCGGTCTTCCAGAGCCTCTGCCTTCGAGTTGCTTCCTTCTCGTCACTCTCCTGCGACAGTCTCACGGCGTTTTTCCGCGGTCCAAGGCTCGCATTCGTTTGCCATGTCATAACTGGCGTATACCCTGGTATAAAATTACATTCCTCCTCCTCAGGTGGCTCTGTCTATCTCCTTCCGGCGCCTCGTTCCGCGCATGGAAGCAAAACGCATGGTGAGATGGCCGAGCGGTCTAAGGCGCCAGACTAAGGACAACTTACAAGGTCATCAGCTTATCTGGTCTCTTTGGGGGCGGGGGTTCGAATCCCCCTCTCATCATCAGGTTTGCCTGTTCTTTTTTCACCAGTTGTGCAGTCAGCATTTTGATAGGCTCACATGAGCACCTCACGCTAAAACGTTCATGGTATGAATAATGAGACTAAAGGTATTGACCCGTATTCCAATTCCCTTCCTGGCGCTCTCGCGAGTTGGTTTATTCGAGACACGAGTTCGAATTTTACCGCCGTCCCAAGTTAGGCTTGGAAGGTCCTTGTCCATGGTAATGCACCAGGAACGAGATAATGAGTGGGTGACAGTGCAATAAGGCAACTTGGCCGAGCGGTCTAAGGCGCCAGAATCAGGATCTGGTCTTTCGGGGCGTGAGTTCGAATCTCACAGTTGTCATTACATTTTTGTCTCTCTCTCTCTGAGTCTCTTTGTGTGTCTCTGTGTTGCTCCCTGCATGTTATCGACGTCGGACGCTCTAAGATAGTCTCCAAACAGACCTTATGTAACAGATGATAGTCGATCTGTTATTATAAGGCTCTAAGATAAGCCTGTGGACGCGCGCTATCGCCGCAGAACCTGCTACTTTTCACTGACAACTCTGTTCTTTCTTTGAATGTTTTCCACATCGATATGGGACTTCAATATCACACAATGTATGTTCTTTAATTTGACCTGTTTAGCTTTGAAGCCTGTATACCTAGGTATGGGTCCGTGCTGACATTCATCGGCGCCCTCTTGAGTTTCTCGGCATTTTTGCCGCACGGCCGGGGCCTCCCGGCGGGTTCCAGGGCATACGGTCGATGTTGAGGAAGCGTAGGTAGGTGGTGTGTGTGTTGCCGGGTGTTAATGCGGCTGTTGTTAGGATCGTCTCCACGGCAGTTTACAGGCTTTGCCTGCTTTTTTGCGTTCCTTTACGCCTAAGGGTGTTGAAGACTGCAAGACAGTGAGTGAAGCACATGAGAGTCGCCGGGGGATGTAGATGTAGATTAGATTAGAGCATGTGAACGACCAAACAATTATGTAAGAACAAATTTTGAATTGCACGGTCGGGGGTAAAAACCTACTACTAAAGTAGCAGGAATTCTATTTTTTTGTAACTTCTAAAGGACAAGTACCCAAGAGTGTGTGGGTACGAGTGTACAGCCACATTTTGAACATCAACTCGTGATGTGGCATTCCCTCCTCCCACAATGTCAATAATGCTGAATTGTCCACAGATCCAGACACGCTATTTCGTCTAAATCTCGTCTTCGGTTTTTTAAAACTCACAGCTGACCGAAGTGGTAAATTCATGGCCTTTGCGATGCGCGACCTGAGGCCCGAACACTCAGTCGAAACGCTACAGTATCTCTGTTACTTGACGGCCCTAACTGCCCTTCAAGCTCTTACTATTGGAGGTATACGGTGATTTGGAAGTATGACCTAACGTTCATTCAAAAGCTGGTCTGTCATCCACCACAAGGAACATCCTCTGATCATAACAGCATTTAGGTTGCCAAGACCTCGATTTTAAGCCTGAAAATCTAGGCCGGGCACTCAAAGTAGAACGTTTCTACTTCCACGTTACTGTAGGCCTTGTGCAGCACCTTTCGGAAGCCCAGATTGGCGTCGGCTCATCGTCTTCTCATACTGCCAGACATCGATCACGAGGACACCTTCTGACTCCTCAAGGATTTCAGCCATGCCCATACGAACTCAATCACCGCTCTCTTACAGCGTTCGACCCCTTCGGCTGTAACCCAATTCCCGGCCCAACACTCTTCGTGTAGCTCGACATCGACGGTCAGGAGACCAGATTCATGCATCATTAGAGCCTATATCCCCCCTCTCGACCCCTTTTCCGCCTTGGCCGGCAATGGAAGCACGCGCTTATGAATGTTCTTGGTGTCGTTCAGCTTCCATCTACTCGAACTCTATGAACGTCGGGTATCTGTCGCCGGTCGCTCTTCACCACTTTCTTTAAAAGGCCAGACAAATGCGTTCGAACTTCGAAAATTTCGTTTGGTCGCCGGATTTTCCAGGAACCCTAACCACAGGCTGCCAATAGATAAACCGATTACTATGATGCGATTGGTTCTCACTGTCGCTTTCGCGCTCACCACCACCACCATGTCCTCTGTGGCCGCCGATGTTTCCGCCTCTAGGCTCCGTCCTCACAACACATCACAGAAACCACCCACGTCATTCCCGTTCGCCTTCACTATTTCTCCCAACACCGATCTCTGGCTCAAACCAGCCCCCATCAACGGACCTCCTTCATCCCTCCCTCTCATCTCAACCAGCCAGCCCACGTTCTACACGGCTCTGCCACTCACGTCCTTCGTCCGCGCATCCGTTACAGTCTCATTTCTCCCAGAGGTCCTCTATGATCAAGCAGGTCTCGCGCTTCTCTTCCCCCGCGACCCTAGCAAATGGATCAAGGGGGGTCTTGAATATGTTGACGGGGCGGCGAAGCGTAGCGTCGTCGTCACTACAGGGCATGGGAAAGGGGCCGACTGGAGCGTTTCCCCCCCTGTGGCAGGCGCCACCGATCCGACAGGAAGAGTCCATACTGTCGTCGAATTCGAACGCGAGGAGGAGGGGACGGGAACGAGCCTGCTCATTAAGATTGGCGGAGAGTTGGTCAGGGAGGTGACGTGGGTGTTTGCTGCATCTAGTGATCCGAAGGAGGAGCTATGGATTGGGTTTTATGGCGCGAGGCCTGCGAAGCCAGACGTAGCGGGAGACTTCACGGTGTCGGTTGAGAAGTGGGATCTTGTAGTGAAGAAAGAGCACTGAATTATAAGGATGTCCCTGGGATTGGGCGGCTGTGATTGAGTGCGTAGGTACAATGTCTTTATGATGCAGCAAACGATTATTAAACTGTATACTTCACAGATATTAACTATCACCTATCCCAATGAGAGCCCACGCTGACGCGATACCCAGGAGCTCGCAGAGTGGTCACCCTATGTCTCGCCTCCTCATTCATCTCCCGATTCCAGAATGTAAATTGCGCAAAAGCAAGGTCGACCTCCTCACCTCCGACGCCTTCGCCTGCAAAACTTTAAACGACCCACCAGCCCCGAGTGTTCCATCCTCAATTCGACCATCGCAACAAGGTCGTCATCGTCTCCTTTCAACTTTCCTTCCAGCCAGAATTCTTGGAGTCGTCCTAGTTCTTGCGGAATCACCCGCCCAGGGTTCGATCATGGCCTCAAACCGCGTTAACCACTTCACCAGCTTTCCTATCTTGCACCACTTCGATTCGCCGAACTCGAATTCTTCGAGAGCTGGTAGCGCTGCGAGGATCTCTATCACGTCTTCTTCGCTGATGTCGACGACTATGCCACCGAACAACAGCACCAGCTTCCTCAGATGCGGCGATCGCGCGATGAACCCAAGGAATAACGGCTGAGACCAACGGATGTTCTCATGCCTCGTCCTCCGTTTCACTTGATGCTTTAGTGCGCTATCTAGTCTCAGGAACTCAACCCTTCGCGCTCTATCGCGCTTTTTGTTCCCCACTCAAGAGTCGAAACTCTCCTGAACAGCGCCCTCACAAGCCTAAAAGTCATGGATGAGGTGGCCGAGCGGTCGCCAGAACCAGATGGGTAGCGCGAAATCGTATCCTCTGAACCTGGTCTCTTCGGGCGCGGGAGTTCGACTCTCCCGATCTTCATATGCACTTGGAGCACAGCTCTGACCTTTTTCCTAAACTTGCTAAGGCTTTGCTGGAAGAAATATATCGCATCGTTGCGCCGTGCTGCGTTCAACCCCGTGTGTCCACGCCCACGCCCAGGCGCAAGTATCGACACCATATCTGTGATAATGATACCTGGACGGGTTGGCAGTACCTGGTTCATGACCAGTCCAGTCCCTCCCCCCGCATGAATACCCGCAAAGCACCCTAGCAGTGGTAATAGATAGTACCATGTAAATGTAGCTATAGCAATTGTCGATGCCCGTATCCCCTGTCCATACCCAGATCCATGAATGAATCCCGTATACATTAACCAACACACGACGTCGCACCGCCGATTCCCTGGAATCACAATGCCCCCACTAGTCCAGTTCACCATAAACCATACACCATACAGTGTACAGCCGCATATAGTCCACGACACATCCCAAAGTCCCAAATCCCAAATCCCAAAATACCCACAGCTACTTCCTTCCCCCAAAAGGCAAATGCAGCGCCCCCGCAACACCCTCCACCGCCCTTCCAACAGGCCCCGTCCCAGAACGATACCCCAGCCTCTTCGGGGGCGCCGCGCCCGGCGGCAGCGCCCCTCCTCCGCCTCCCGGGGGCAACGCGTAATACACGGACCCTCCTCTGTTGGTATTGGTATTGGTATTGGTATTGGTGGACGGCGAGGTGGAGCGGAAGGGGTCTGTGTATAAGGAGGTGGAGGAGGAGGAGGGGTCGGCAGAGTGGGTGGGGTGTGTCGTTGGAGGGAGACCCGTGTACGCCGTCGTAGTAGTCCCCGCAGTGGAGGTGCTCGCTTCCGCCGCGTGCGCAGGCCCCATCACGTCATCGATGATCCTCCCCATCCCCAGCCCCCCCACGTCCTGCACCCGCAGCGGCTCCGCCCCCATCCCCGGCGTCGTCGCCCTTGACGACCCCGCAACACTCGCATCCCGATACGCCCTCAACGCCATCCCCCTCTCCCCCTCCTCATCCTCCTCAAAAAAGTCCTCCCCATCCAGCAATCCCCTGTCCTCCCGCGTGCGGCGGCGCGGGCGCAGAAGAGTTTGGAGGCGTTCGTGGAGTTTGCGGCGGTGGCGCCGGTAGAGGAAGGTCGCGGCGAGGAGGAGGAGGAGGAGGAGGACGGAGGCGGTGGTGGCGCCTGCTATTGCGGCGGTGCGTTTTAGGGAGGTGTGTTTGGAGGTGGGGGAGGGGGAGAGGGCGGTTGGGGCTGGGGTGATGATCTGTGGAGGCCGGGGTGTGTGTTAAATTAGGTTTGGGATGCGTGGGTGGGGGAGGGGGGACGTACGGTTGTGGGGTTGCCGTTTTGGTCGATGGTGGTGAGGGTCGTGAGGGACTCGGTGAAATTCGAGGAGGCGGTGTT